CTTGGAGGTAAGCGACTAGAATTTGCGCATGATATATTGTCTCATTATTGTGAACATTTGTGCCAAGTATTTTCCAAAATCTCTTCATGGATAAGAAAGTTAGGGACCGGACACGGCATATTCCCTCAAAAAGACAATGTTGACCTTTAAATACCACCTTGGAAGTAGGGGTCCGGTTGTTGCGCATGACACATTGTCTTATCATAACAAACATTTGTGCCAAGTTATTTCAAATTTCTTTGATAAATGACATAGTAATGGACCGGACACGAAAATGTGACGGACGGACAGACAGTCGAATTGATGGATACACGAAGCCTACTTCTATATCAACCTGTTTTCTTTGAAAAGGCGGGTTGCAATACAGCCTTTTAACATTAATTTGCTTAGGTCATTAAAATTTTAATGGCATAGTTACGTTCAACTTCATCAATATAATTTGCTTTTGTACATAATTTACAACAGTTACAAGTGATATTATAATTTGTTTCTAAGAACTGATTTAATGATAAAATAATTGCCCGAATAATCATAAATAAAACTATTGGACTTTTTGCATTTGTGTCCTGAAGGAAATCAAAAGTGTAACAATAAAACTTAGCCTACCTTTACAAAGTAAACAACAGTATATGGCGATAAGGATAAGTCCAACACATGGTATGATCAATATGCACAGATTACAGCCTGCAACACAAAAAATGTTAAATTCAGTCATCTTATTTATACAAATTATAGAAGGTTATGCTCACGAGTGGCGTAGCCACGAGAAAAGATTGGATGACAAGTGTAAAACGGAGTGAGCGAATGGTCTAAAATTAAAAGTTTACACTTTCATGAAATGGAACATTAATCACGAACACATATGTACAGTTTTATCATGTAAACCAAAACAACAGTACACATTTTGGCTACATCAAGAACAGTTATTTTGCAATGATGCTAGACTCATTTTGCTTGTAAAAATTACACCTAAAAGTATTCGATACTTTAATTCAAACGTTAGACATACCGTGTGTACATGTATTTGGTACCATTGACCTAGTGGTTAAGGCGTCTGCCTTCTGATAATGAGGTTAAAGGTTCGAGCCCCACGGGGAGCGTTAATTGAAAGATGAATGTTTCAAATGGGACTCGTTCCGAAATGGCCACTTGTGAGCCGCAAGGTAGTTAAAATAAATGGTTACCGGTTTCTACACGCCTGGCATAGAGGTAGGATTGAGTTTGGAGGTACATGGTATGCAAGTAAAAGGTGTCTCATAAGTCAAAATTGGCTGGCCCTTTCAGTTGTGGTGACACTATGATAAACAAGACCTTTCCCTATTACCCTTTATTTACTTTTTTCAAAAAAGGCAAGTCCTGGATGTAATATTATATGTATGTGTTGCGGTTCAGGGGAGAAGATCATGTAAGCCCCTGGACAGCTCATCCGGTAGGAGCTGTGACCCAGACCTAATCGGAGGGTCCTGTGTTTGAGTCTCGGTCAGGCTGCACATTCTTCTCACCCTTTGACATTTGGAGCCCAACTTGGGGCTGTGATTGAATATAGCTCAGAGTTAAATTTACATTGCTTAATTGTAACAAGTGAAATTTGAGGATGAATTTTCAATATAGTAAGACAGGATCTCAAGCTTAAGAAATTTACTACTCAGGGGAGAAAATGTATTTAAGAGGCCTCATAGCTCAGTCGGTATGTGGCGGTATGGTTTTCCGAGGGTCCTAGGTTCGTGTCCCGATCAGACTGCACACTATCTATTTTTGTTTTGTTGTTTTCTTTACTTTAATTTCCATTTGTTTTGTCATTTTTACCTGTACAATCCCCACCTGACTGCGACAAAACAAAATAAATGAAATAAAATAGAGATTGGTATCGGTGGGACGCACAGGTGACACTATGATAAAACGCCAAATCTAAGGCGGTTGTACACTACATATGGGGCAACAAAATGAATTCTTTATTGTCGCATGGAAAAATGGCTCCTCTCCCTCATTTTTTTATTTGTGTTGTCGCAGTTGAAGGGCCCATTCACAAAATACTGACAAAAGGTAAAAAAGTGCGACAAAATAAAAAAAATGTTTCTCATTCTGACACTCTTTCATGTTTTTGCTACTTGTAACAACCGCATGGCACGATTCAAAACTGTTAACCTTTTATGGGTGATATAGTGTAAGCGGCCAGATAGCTCAGTTGGTAGAGCTGCGAAACGGTATTCTGAGGGTTGAGGGTTCGCGTCCCAGTCGGTCTGCACATTTTTCTCACCCTGTGACATTTGGTGCCCGACGGGGGACTGTGACTGAATACAATTCAGAGTTTAAATTACATTGCTCTGTAACTCTGTAAAATTCAAGGATGAATTTTAATATAGCATGGGAGTGTCACGGTTCAGAAGTGTTCACTTATTAGGGGTGAAGGTGTGAGAGTAGCTGTCGGTCGAGCCGCAACTCAGTATTCCGAAGGTCCCAGGTTCGAGTCCTGGTAAAGCTGCACATTGTCTTCACCCTTTGACATACAACCAAACAAAATAACGAAATAACAGTAACCAGACACCATGGTTTTGTGATCATGACAAAATGGCACCACTTAAATGCAAACGTGGAATTCTATTATTAATTTGAATTGTCATTTTTGTCTAAATGATGTGTTGATTTGAAAAAACGTTTTGTAATATTTTGATATCAAAGTTAATGTAATCTAATGATTCATACGTACTAAATTAGTTAAAAGAAATTACATAGATCACATTTCAACAGGATTTGTCCGTCATTTTGAAAAACGGCCGCTTTAAATCTGTTATTTATATTTATGGCAAATGTTGATTACAGCCAATCATTGAATTGTGAATATAAGAATATGGGACAATTTATTGGACGTTTATTCTTTAGAATAAATGTGTATGGTTATGAATGAAAAGTTTTACATTTGTAGTACCCTTTTGGGCAAAATTTTCGGGTAATTTGACCTAGTTTTCGGAGAAATTGGCCATTTTCAACTACAGTTTAAAATTAGGTATAGCCCATTTAGAAATAAAACAATGGACAAGAAACAAAGTTTATCATCCTTGACAAGTTTTAAAAGCATTTATTTTCTTGCATTTAATACTTTAAGAACCTTGCAGGTTTTTTCAAAATGCCCTATGAAAGATGCATAATTTGACGATTTAGCTCAATTTCACGCATATATTCTGAAGAAAATAATTACTGTCAGAATATTCAAATACATGCACCGAAATAATAGTTCTATGCTGAAGATGTATACCAATTTTCAAAGCACTTTGTTATTAAACAAGTCGCATGCAAGTTTTAAAAAACATGTACAAACCGTGGTAATATTACGCCAGTGTGATTATTACGCGACACAGGTATAACGGGCCTGATATTTGTGCAGTATTTAGCGTAAAAAAGGCCATATGTTTAGCGCAAAACGACTGCAAAATTCAGTGTTAACTACTGTAAGAATAGTTTGTGTCAGCTTTGCGACATTTAACGTAAAGTGCGTTATTTAGCGGTGATGCGACGTTTAACGCTGCTACATATAGTGTAGTTGAACAGTTTAAAAAATCTTCACTTACCTTTGATTACTTTATTGAAACGTTGTTTATTGCAATGAATGACAAATGCAGGTATATAAGATATCGCCAAAACAAAAACGATAACAATGATAATACACCAGATTTCGCCAAAGCAACCCAATGATTTACTCGTCGGACCCGATCTTACTGTAAGTATAAATAAAGCATTTATAAATGTATAAGATAATGATATCATGTATAATAACATTATATGTTACAACACACTTTATAATACAGCTTTCCTTTAATAGCAGACAACTGAACATATCAAAAAATATCAAAACACTAATTTAAAAATCTTTCAACTCAATGAGATTATCTCTTTATACGTCATTTCATACGTTGGTTCAGATATTGACAAACCTGACATTTAGGTATAATTCTACCAGAAAGACGAATGAAGCAGACGCATTAGATGTCACTGAGAACTTATTGGCGTAATTCTCGTTTTTTAGATTTAAATTATTTTCAGAGCAGTATCTCCATCAAGTATAATAAGAAAAATGTTAGAACAACTAACTAATTTAAAATTTCTTCTGTTCATTGTGTCAATTTTACTGAAAAATATTCCATTTTATTTCATGTTCTCTCTTTTTAATTTTATTGAACCAAAAATTATTCGTCTTATTGGTCTTATGTGTATCAGCTCATGGAGAAATTGTATCATATTTACACCATTGTTTTCACTTTACATGTTTTTATTGATTTTAGCTCATGCCGATTGAATAATTATATATTTACATATGTTTCAAAATAAATAATACTCTTGTTACATGTATAACTTTTTAGCGTCTGCTTTACCGAAAATGCAAAAAAAGTATATATACATTGCCTTTCCTTGAAGACACGAATAGCAATCTATCACTTTTAAATTGTCATCGACATTCTGTGACCAAATGTAATGGCAATGTATGCAGGAAATGAACCCAAAGTGGCCTGATTGCTTTAAGCTTGTTTCAGAAATGGTGGACAAGAAAAAACTTTAGAGTAACCATTATCTGTAAATAATGTGAGTGAAACCTTGTTATTTGATCTTTTTCAATGTTATCAGCAGAAGGGCCACATTTTTGCTGTGATGGTCACATATCAGTTTTTGTCTTACGAAATATGAAAACAAAAAAGAGCTTGAGATCATCACCAATAATGAGACGTAAAAGCCTGAAGTTATATTGATTTTTATTTTCAGTTTAAATATAAGTTAACATAAGAGGGTTAATATACATTTTTCTTGCATTGATATATAAAAATAGGCATTGAACTTATTAAATCCCCCACTCTGTGTACTCTGGGTTAATACGTGCCTGCTTCTGCAGATGCTATTCGGTAATTCTACATCTCGTTACCTCTATTTCTATAATAAATCCATTGCTTATGCGATGTATTCAACTTGCTTGTTCGATGTCATTTGACAATTGTTTTTGATAATGGAATTACCTGGGCCGTCATTAAGCTGTTTTACATTACGCCTTGATTGACGCATATTAAAAATCTTCAACAATGGCGCGTGATCAGGAGAATTTATCCGTTAATTGTCTCAGTCGTTTTAATGTATCCCTGTTTTTATGTAAGAATAGCGATTTAAAGTAGAGAATAATCTTACATTTCGAAATTCTAACGTAGTTACTTTCTGCAGAATACCATAGTTGATGAAGAAAATTAAAACAAAATGCATTTATAACTTTAATTATAGCAAATTGCACAATATGAAATCCACGTGTCTTGCTTTACAGTTACCAATTAACTCAAAGCCAAAAATATTTGTATGGTATTGAAGTACTAATAATTATGATTACACTCGTAATGATGATGAAATACTTTCATTACGACTGTGGCAGATATGCTATGTAACAGTTCAACGGGTAATAATTTTGATCTATGTACAATATAAAATAATCTTGCCTTTTTAACATCATTTTGTCAATAAGACAAACATGCCGTGTTAGTTGATATTTCACTAAATGTAACGATTATTAAATTCAGGAAAATATTTTGAATTTGCAGCTTTATAATAACATTTTTTTGTTAAATTTTAAAACAAGGATCTGTTTGTGATTCAAAAGTAACAACGATGAAAAAAGCCAAGGAAACCCATTTCATTTTTGTTATGAAAAACTTATGTCGATTTATCTTTATTCTGCAATGCATTTTAGTAAACGTGGTATAAAACAGAAAATTAATATGTAATTAAAGCAAATCGGGATAAAACTAGCAAAATAATAATAATAACAGCAACAAAACCAACAACAACAACAAAAATAAATACAATAAACACAACAAAAACAACCGAATGCAATTATTGTAATTTCACTTAAGCAATTTAAAATACTGACGTCAAACTCAACAAAGGAATGGAGATTTACACTTTCAAAAAATGTATTAAATTAGAATTCACTATATATAAGTGCACTTTAAGGAATTTGATTAGTTATGATTAGAAATTCCCTGTAAGATAATAATGCCGTATAAGTCTTTCAAATCAATAATGTCTAGATATTTTATGTGATTGCATTGGCTTAGTCAATTTCAAGAAGTCTTAAGATATTACTTTCAAATCAATAATGTCTAGATATTTTATGTGATTGCATTGGTTGAGTCAATTTCACGAAGTCTTAATATATTACTTTTAACTACAAACACGGACTTCTTCATGTGTCAACGTTAGTAATGAAATAGAATTATTGACTAATCTGTCATATCTTTATTGACGATGTGCCGCTTTAAAGATATGTCTACAATAACTTTACTATTTGCGTCCATAAACAGTATGTAGGTTTGCGAGAATTTTCAAAAGATTTCAAGTATTTTAAAGACAACTTGTTCGTGATATATCAGTATAATATTGTTGATTTCGTTGATTGTTTTCATTTTTATTGTCTTTCTTTCATTCGTTGTCAAACAAAAATAATAAGTAATCATTATAACTTTAGAAATACCAGCGAAGCAACCTGTATAAATGCAGAAGCATACTTTACCCGTTTTATGTCTTGTTCAACTACAAGAAGTAACAAAAGTAATGCTACGTAGTACTGATATTGATAAAATGTTATAAAGAATACCATTTATATCCGAATTGGTAGTAATGTTATTAATGCAATCTGATGTTGATGCTGCAATTTTGATGCTTGTAAAGTATGAAACGGAAGATTCATTTTAGTGTAAAATAAAAATGTCTTTCTTATATTCTAAGAAAAAAAACCACTTGCTATGTTTGTCCCAAATGAAGTACTTATTTTCAGCTGAATAACTATTTGTAGGTAACTAGCATATTTCCCCAATTTGTTTGTGATATTTAAAAACAGTATATAAAATATTTATTTTTTATCACTATATAATATCTCTGCCAATTTGTCATGTATCGATTTTCCTGAAATCCAGCTGTATGACTAAAGAAAAGAAATAAAATACCAAAAAAAAAACAAAAAAAAAAAACAAAAACACTTTGATGGTGTTGTGAAATTTACTGGCATATTTAAATTGGTGTCAAGATTATTAGTTTTATAAAACGAACAGTCTATATTTGCACAATTTGCACGTGCAATGAAATATTGCAAGGTCATCTGAATGCATGTGGTTTAGTATACTGGTTGTAAACATGGCTGAGTATTATTGTGATTTAGAGAGGAGCAAAAACTTTATGAGCGTCAAAACAATAATGAATCCAAATTTAATGTATCAAGAAAATGTCCTTCCACATCGTGAAATAACTAGGTGGCTGTCAATGTTTAATGAAGATATGATGAGACCCTGTGTGGCCAATTTCCGCTACCTCTGAAAAGGCATGAGCACTGTCAAAATCATAGTTGATAAAGATGCATGCAAGAAATGCAGGAAATAGGTGACATATCGGATATAAGGGCGTCAAATATGTTTTACACCTTGAATGAAAACTTAAATTTAGGGAAAGTGTGCATTCGTTTGATTCTTCTTTTGTTAACATCTGACAAGAAAAGGGAGCTGATTTAAAAAGCCTCGGCCTTATTGACCGGGTTCAAAGATTGAGACCTTAAACACGTGAGAGAAATTTTCACAGGGAATTAAACCTGACATAATATTTCTGAGCCCGACAATAAAATCAGTAATAAAATGCAGGGAAATAAGAATAGCGATTGTGCAGTTGTTGCTTGACGTAGTAGGAGCCTTTCAAGTTTGTGATTAATGCTTCCTAGGGATCATCATTTGTTTCCAGATTTTTATACTTCACAACAGCAGGTGTTAAGTGCTGTGTGGCAGCTGTAAAAAGTTGCCCCGTACTTCACTTCAGTGTTGTTATATTTTTCTGGTCCTTCGGGATCATTGATGCCAGCATTATTAAGTGCTGAGAATTGAGTACCGCTCAGCCGGTGCTAGGGGGCGTGAGATATGTTGCACTTATTCATTATCCCTCATGTACAGACTCAATCAAACCGAGTCTGCAATTCTCTTTTAATTTTGTTGTGATTAATGCTTCTGAGGGATCACTTTGTTTCCAGATTTGTGTATGTTTTACTTTTTGACAATGATGGAATAGTGGAACATATCGCCTATTCTGAGGAGGGCAGCGTAACTGAAACATTTCATCATAACCAAACTCTCACTGCTGTGGTTAATCACTATATTACAAAGAACCTAAGGTCTGGGGGCGCAGGATTTATGTACTCCATGATAATGCACCTGTGCTCCTGTCAGCCTTGGTTTAAGCATTTTAGAGGAGCAGATAATTGAGGTTTTTTTTTACATTCCGCTTATATTCCTGACGTATCTCCTTGTGACTTTTGGATAAATCCGCACATCAGACATACGCGGTCGCTGGTTAAAAATCCATAGTATTGTCGGACGCACTCTCTGGCAATGTATTGTCAGTATACTCAAAGAACAAAAAATCCTCCCTTTACTACCATCTACACATTAAGTTTGTTCATCCCTGGAAAATCTGCCTTCCGGTTTAAGAGGAGTTGCGTTCAAAAAAATTCTACATAGTATATAGCGAAAAAATCAACAAAGGGCCATAGTTCTGTTAAATTTGGTCGCACCAAAAATTTCTTCCTTTACTGCCATCTACAGATTAATGTTGTTCATCCCTGGAAGTTTAAGCAAAATCTGCCATCCGGTTTAAGAGGAGTTGCGTTCACAAGATTTCGGGACGTACGGACAGACGTACGGACGGACAGACAGACACTCGGATGGACAAGTGCAACGCTATATGCCCCCGCTCTGTGGGGGCATAAAAACGGGAACTTAATGCATTTAGCTAAAAACAATGGAGTTAATGAAAGGTGTACATTCTTTAAAAAATGGAAAATTTGAGAAAAAAAATATTTTAAGCTAAATAATTAATACAAATTCTTTATAATGTGATTTATTTGGTGAAAGTTCTTCACTTACTAATCAAGACCATTTAAATCCCTATTGATTCTACTATAATCCAGGGCACATGTTTTGCGTCTATTTAATACCTTGATTTGTGTTTAACATTCGCTTTGACTACAATATATAATTTAAAACATAATGAAAATTAATTTTGTATGACCCCAAAGTGTGGTCGTTTGCCTGATGTTAAAAAATGCATATGTACCTGTTTAACGCACTTTGGGTAAAAATTGGACCCCAAAGTGCGTAACGCACTCTGGGGTCGGACCCCAAAGTGCGGTGTTACAGCGCAGTAATCATATAAGTTATTTTTCATACTCTAATCATGACTCTTTGATATTTTTAACATAAGTTGACTTGGTGACTTAAAGGTCCATTCGGCCGACTGTAAATGTTATACTCTGTATTCATGTATCGCATTATTTATTTACACGTGTTACTATAGTAAATTGAAGTTTTTGTCTTATCTTATCTTATGTTATATGTGTGTCATATGTTTAATTATCTACGTTTGTGTCCTGTACAATCATCTAATAGCCTGGTGGTATCTCTAATTATGTGACTGTGTCTCCTAATTTAGCTATTTGTATTAGGCTGTAGGTAAATTACAATCTTGAAAATCGTAAGGTATAAGTAAGCCACATTAGGGTGAAAATGTATCTTATTATGTGATAGGTACGCTTAAAATGGTGATAGTGTTTCAGAAAAGTCATAATAATGAGACATTATCTTCTTTGTCTTTGTAAGTAAAACATTTTTTTCAATATTTTAAAAGTATCTTATTGGTGATAGTTAACTTTTATATTGTGAAAGTATTTCCTTATAAGAGATATTTAACAAAACAGGCATTGTGACGTATCCGTAGAGAATTGAAAAGAAAACATATATCTTGAGCAATTAATTTAGATCAACATTGTTCTTCCATTTATACATTTTTATGCCATTTGATAACGTTAATCAAAAGGCATAATAATGTGAAAAAGACGTTATAACGCGAACCAAGAGGTGTAATATTTAACGGGAACTCCAAAAGTGCAATAGTGTTTATTTAATATCATTGAATTAATATTAATGGTATTGAATAACAGCTAATACGCCTTTGGGTTCCCGATATAACGTCTTATATTCAAGTAA